TCTCTCTCTCTCTCTCTCTCTCTCTCTCTCTCTCTCTCTCTCTCTCTCTCTCTCTCTCTCTCTCGCTCTCGCTCTCGCTCTTTTTTTTTTTTTTTTTTTTCCACAAGCGAATTCTCACTCGGGTTTGAATGGTCTGCTTTTGTCTGCTGGCAGCTCAGTATTATTTGGCTCTCTTTTTTCAGTTTTTCATGTCTTATGAACTTATGATCCTGCCTCATTCATAATGCAAAACTCAACTTTGAGACAATGCAAGCCTTGCTGTGAACTCCGGACGAAGTGGAAAGAGACCAAGAATTGGAATAGAATGACGAAGTATGCAATCAAGATGGGCATGCAACTCTTCATTTGCCTGCGTCGTGATAAGCAATCCAGTTCACAGATCACAATGTTCATGAAATTCTTCATTTACTTGCACCAAAGGGTAGGCATAACGGCTGTGTGTTTGTGCGCGCACTTGTACGCGTTGTGACGGAAAGCACAACCATGCCATCTGCAAAGCCGTTTGTATGTAGGTGTGATGTGAAAGGAACCACACCACATTGCCACAATGGTTTTGAAGCTGTTTGTGTGTTGGTGACATTTTCGGGGTGATAATAGTCGTCGTCGTCATATTTGATGGTGACGGGCAAATGGTGTCGCTGCACCGCTTGTCCATTTCAAAGAATTGCGAGCTTGCTTTTCTAGGTTGAACGAAGTTACACCCCACACTGTTTATGTTTGGTGAGTGGTGCAGTGAGGCTTTAAGGCAAATATTATAATCTTGTGCATGCAATTAGCAGAACGTTGGTGCTGCAGCAAGCAGGCAGGCTGTAGTGTTCGGATGTCTTTTTCTTTCTCTCACAGGTGGCTGTCTTATTATCAATAAGACTAGAAATCGGGCCCAGTTTGCCTTACAACTGGGTTCAGGGACAAAGATCGGTAGGGGGACAACCCATAACCGGTAGAGGGAGTGTGGAAGGAATCGTCCGATACAAAGGGCCAGTTATTGAAATCCTCAACACATACTCATTTGCATGACCCGGCATAAGCACCACGTCGCTATTTTAGGATTCGCTGTTGTGCGCTGAGGAGAGGAAATAGTCTACGGCTGGGCGCCAGTAGCCATAGCTAGGTTGAGTGTGTGGGACAGCGAGAGACATCGGGGGGTATTCCGACAGAAGTGGGGCCTTAGAGAAAGAAGAGTGTGGTCAAATGGGACAGATACCATACCTGAGTGAGCTTGTCTGGCGGCCATAGCCGCCCATCTTATACAAAGTTTTCGTGTAGTTGATGTCGATTGGCCAAGGCTAGCTTCGAGTTCCATCCCACGTGTGCTTCTTGTTTCGTGTGTCCGATGGGCGCCAGTAGCAATAGCTAGGTTGAGTGTGTGGGACAGCGAGAGACATCGCGGGGTATTCCGACAGACGTGGGCCCTCAGAGAAAGAAGAGTGTGGTCAAATGGGAGAGAGACCCTACCTGAGTGAGAGTGCCTGGCGGCCATAGCCGCCCATCTTATACGAAGTTTTGGTCTTGTTGATGTTGATTGGCCAAGGCTAGCTTCGAGTTCCGTCTCACGCGTGCTTCTTGTTTTGTGCATCCTATGGTGTGAGCACGGTACGAAGGTGTCATGCATGATTGTTCTCAAAGCACTAAATTAGCAAAGAGTTATTCATTGCATACCAGTTCATTCTCTTTTGATGTTCATTTGTGTTGTCATTTGCTGCTTCCATTATTCATTGGTTTGATTCTTTTTTTGTGATTAAGCCTTTGTTGAATGAATTGCGAGGAAAATGAGCAATAGCAAGATGACAATGTCCAGCATGCACCATCACATTGAAGGCCAGATAGTATCACAGTGTCCAGAAAGCAGAAATGCACCAATATAACACCAATGAAGAATCGTAACACTGAAAACCAATGTCAATGAGAGCTTGCTCTCGCCGCCACCAACATGAGTGTCCAGGCCCTATCTCCCTACTTGGCGCTCGGCGCCTAGCCTACTTCCTACACAGCTACAGTCTGCCTGCTAATTGACAATACAATTGTTGACGTCAGCAGCCCCCGAAGTACTTGAAGATGTCGCCCATAGCAGACCATCGCCAATACCAGGTATGTGCCCTCAAATCATCATCATCATCATCCTTCTCTCTCTCCCTCTTCTTTCACCCACGTCTTCCCTCTGTACACCCGAAGACCACCCCTGCGCCTCACTGTAGTCCAAGCCCATCCAGCTATGGAGGGTGGGCTATGGCGCTGCCCTCAGCAGCGCCCTGCTCCCTGCCCGACCGCACGCGCTAGCACCTTGCCTCTCAGCGCCAGCAGCAGCCCACGAGCGTCCGCTCCAGCAGCGCTGCCGCCAGCATGCAGTGCCGAATGACCAGCCAGGCAGCGAGCTCTTTCCTATATGGAAAGAGCCTGCCTCGATTGGAGGCCTGGCTGGCCTGGGCCTCGGCCCAGAAGCTTCCGGTAGGCCCCAGTACGCTGCGCCTCTGCTGCGGCTACTGGGCCTCATTCGGTTGGGCCTCTCAACTGTCTGTGTACGAGGCTGCGATTCTTGCCCAGGGCCTGCATTTCCGGAAGGGCCAGGAAGGCCATGGAATTTGCTTGCTGCTCGGCCTGTGTTTCCTTTAACCAACTGGCGCGTCGCGACTGTCTGGACCCCAAATACGAAATTGACAGCCGAGGGCCTCTTGTGTTTTGTTTGGCCCGCCTTCACTTAGGGCGGGCACATATGCAACAGGGTCCCTTCAGGCCTGCCGAGGACCCAGATCCTTGCAGAATGGGCTCATTGCATATGTTTCGTTTTCAATTGGCGAAAAGAGAACAGTATTGGCTGACAAGCATGGATCAATATATCGAGTAGAAAGTTAGTAGAAACGTTTTGATTAGATTTGGTTGGTTTTGTCTCTTTTTCTCATTATTCCAAAAAATGAGAAAGGAATTTTAAGGGTTTGACGTTTGCTCTTTTCAATTTTGCAGTGTCCATGGGTCAACGCGAGTATCTGACTCTGTCAGCACCAGGGGCGACCACGATGGAGCCATGGAATGCCAATTTTTCTTTGTGAGTGCTGCATGTTTCCATGTGGGGTGTGCTGCTGCTGTCTTCTGGATATTTATTATTATTATTATTATTATTATATTTTTTTTCGGGTTTTTTCCCATTACTATGAGAATTTGATCCATTTCTCGGCTTATGTGTGTCATCCTTGTGCAGGGATTGTGCAAATCTTCTGTGTATCATCCAATTGTAACAGATGTCCTAAAGGGCCCAAAAAAAAGAGAGAGAAAAAAGTTTTTTTTCTTTTTTCGTTTGGAAATAACACTTGTATTCTTTGCTAGAAAACGGGTTCAGCATACGGGGTGAAAGCATTTGGGAAAAAAAAAAACAAAAAAAAAAACGGGCCCAGCTGCCCCAGCATTCATTACATGCGTTACTCACTCAATTCTTTCCTCTGTTAACTGAGAGACTCTGAGACAGCGGCATTGATTGCTTCCTCTCTGGAAGGATTTGCATCTGCTCCACCCCTGTTCCTTTTTTTTTTTGCAAAGTTTGTTAACTCCATCTACTGGTGGGGGCTGTTCCTTTTTTGACGATGCTATTGCAGCTATTCCTTTCTGTTTTTTTTTTTTTTAATAGGCTCCTTTCTATTGGTGGAGAGCTGCACTAAAACCGGGTCCAACGTCTGTCCCATAAAACACTAATGGTCACTCACGCTTGACGCTTCCTAGATCTCAAGAAAACTGATTCTCCGTGTAGCTCCTCTCTGCTTTGATAAGCTGCCTGATTTCGTCGTGATCGTCTCGGGCTGGGGTTCTTTAGCTGTAGACCCCTCTTGGTCAGAATCATTGTATGCAGGTATTACTCGCTCTCAAACTCCTCCTCGCTTGTCCTTCGATGTGCCTTATACCACCTTAGAAACCTCCTCTGCTTAGTTGTAGACCTGTTCTGTTTCGCCCTTAATTACCCTCTAGGATTGTTGAGGCTGCTTCCAAAATCTGGAGAGATCTCTGCAATGATTAGTTCCTGCTTGGATCTTGGCCATGCGGAGGATTATTCTGGTGTGTGCTTGGCCCCTCCAAACTATGGTATTCGAACCATGTCAGTGGAGTTCGCCCGAGGTGGCCACTTGTGGCATTCTAACCCTTTCAGCGGAGTTCGCCAGAGGTGGCCACCTTACCATTTGCTACCCAGATTCTCTCGAACTTAGTCTTGGCTGCATTGCAATTTCCCTTCTCTTCTTGAAGAAACAGCGGGTCTTGCATGATGCTCCCACGCGAGACCCGCTGGCCAATGTTGGGAGAAAAAGTGCTGGGCCCAAGGACGGGTCCAACCCAAAGCCCACGCCGGTCGTGAAGGGTGAACCTTCTGGAAGGGTCGGTGAGTGGGGCCAACAGTCGCGCTCGCCCTCCGACACGCATGTGCAGGTTGGTCTGTCGAAAAAAGGAGAAACACCACAGGGCACAGCGAAAAAGTGCCGGGGGAGGGGAAAAAGAGAAACGATGCAGGGTGCAGCGGAAAAGCGTCGGGGGAGGGGAAAAAGAGAAACAGCACGGGACACGAGCGGGGAGGCAGAGCAAGGGGAGAAGGGATCGGGTCAGTCAGGAAAAGCTCACGTTACGCTTGGACGAGGTGCTGTGAGCGCCCCCGCATTCGCGATGGAGGAGGTCGCAATTAGAGAGGACACACAAGGGGGATGGAGGAGGAGGACGAAGGACCACAGCGATGGAGGGAGGAAGATGGAGGCGGAGAAGGGAGTAGGATGAGGACGATGGATGGCGAAGGGAGGATGGAGCAAGAACAAGGGCGGAGGATGGACTAAGGAGGACGCGCGAGGAGGGCGGGAGGACGAGCGAGGAGAACCGGGCGATGAAGGAGGAGGGAGGAGACGATGGGCGAAGGATGCAAAGAGGAGGAAGGAGGAAGAAGAGGGAGGAGGGAGGAGGACAATGGCGACGGAGGGAGGAGGCAGCAGCATAGAGGTAAGGAGGGAGGAGGAACGGGAGAAGGATGACGACGAACAGAACGAGGAAGGGAAAAAGTACTTTTCTCAAGTTTTTTGTCTATCCCCTTTCCACCTCTTCATCCTCCTCCTCCAATTCCCCACCTCTGTCGATCCCCTTCGCGCTGTTGGTCATGGTTGATGATATTGATGCCTACAACATAGTGATTGATGATATATGGATGAGGTGGAGGGAGTAGGACAAGCGGCGAAGAAGGAGAGGGAGGAAAGGGAAGAAGAACTGAAGATGGATGAGAACGGCTGATGAAGGAGGAGGATGGCTAATCTTCTGTGTGCAATGAGCAGAAGGACGATGAATGACTGAGGAGAGGGGGAGAGGGGGGAGGAAGGAGCAGGGGGGAAGAGAGGGGAAGAAGGAGCAGGGGGGAAGAGCGAGGAGGAAAGAGCGGGGGGAACGAAGACAAAGGGCAGGACCGGGACGAAGAGTGAGAAGATGACCATCTTGACAAGGAATGGGAGGAGGGCAGGAGGAAGACCGGAAGAATGGCAATTTAAGGGTAGCACAAGAGGGGGGGAGGCAGGGTCGCTGCTGACAACAAGTCAAACTGAGAAACAAAGATGCTGCGGTACAAAGGCACAAA